GTAATAGGTTTAATATGAATTTGATCAATTTTATTTTATATCTCATATTCGAGCTCTCATATATTCTTCTACTTGTACAGTTTTTCATATGGAGCTCTCCAAGCCATAAAAAACTTTACGAATGTGTGAAACAAAAATTTACACTTCTATTTCTCCAAATGGATAATCTGTCTCAAAACCATGGACCCAATAGCCTACCCTTTCCTTGCTGATCTGAAACGCCTTTATAACGTATGGGACTCCGGTTAGCATGAAGGCCGACTCTCCACCCCATATTCTTGTCCCTGGTCCATTCAAATGGCACCGGATCAGGGCAACACCATTGCAGCATGACTGCCTTCCGTGACATTGGTCTGGACAAATCCCTTCTCATTTTTCTTTCCAAAATTTCTGGACTGTTCTCTCTCCTAATAGTTTCAAAGTTAGATCATGACCAATCCTACTGCCCTGATCTGCAGGTTGATTTATCAATCATTTTTCAAGCCCCACTCAGTCCCCACCAAACTATGGAGAAACCAAAATGACAGATACCATAACACACAGGGCCCAACTTTTTAGCAAGGCCAGGGACCGGTGGTGTGCGAGGGGACAACTGGCTGTGGGACACACACAGCCCTTGTGCCCTTGGAGGTCGAGAGCAGAAGGGCATCAGGCTGACCTTGTCACCCTGTGCATCCCACAGAAAGCTGTCCCTGGGTTGGGACAAGAGTTCTAGCCGGCACTGAACTCAGCCATGGAAACACAGCAGAGAGGACGTTTACGGCTTAAAACACAGCCTTACAAATTAGTTCATGACTGTTTCGTATTAAAGTCTAGGTTTTTTTAAAGAGAGTATTTTGGGAACTGGTGTGTAGCTCATTGATAGTGTGTACCCCCAGCCTAATAAAATTAGAACTTAAATCTCATTTCAGGCTGGTTGTAATTTTTTTTTGAAAAGTTTTGTTCCTTCATGAGGATTTGCTCCGGTGTTTCATCTCTCCTCTGATTGCTATTTTCACTTTGGCTCTTTCCTTTTTATTTTGATGCATCCTCTAAATAAACTTAAAGTTGACTACAAGGCACAAATCTTTTTCATGTGAATGGGTGGGAGTCTGCTCTGACACACTGGTGTGTTTGAGTGAATTCACAAGTCTGTTTCCCTCCCTCAGGGATAACATTACCGGTCATTTGCCAGAAAAGCATCACAGATTCCCCCAGTGACAGTGCAAATCCCCTCAGGGTCACTGCCAACCTGAGTAAGGGCAGAACCTGGACCCTAAGTGGGGGTCCCGGCTTAAGTGAGAGGTTTAATCAGTGCCTCGACAGCTTAAATATGCTATGGAGGAAAAAAACCACCAACCCACGAATTTTGGGTTTCAAGTCCAGAACTATGCATTTTAAAAGTAGAAAACAGGGGCCGGGGATTTAGCTCAGGGGTTGCGCCGTCTGCTGTGCAAGTGCAAGGACCCGAGTTTGATCCCCAGCACCAAAAAAAAAAAAAAGTAGAAAACAAAATCTCACAATGGTCCCTGAATTCAGGCAACATCTAGTCTAACTGAATGAATAAGGACAAACCAGGGAAAAATTAATGCTCCCTAGTAGAATCCATGACAACAGACTGAATGTGGAGAAGAGGGTTGCTAACGAATACTGGAGGCAGGACCAGGAGCTGGATCCGAAAACAGACAGAGAAGAGGATGTGAAAATCTTCTGCAACCCAGAAGGAGACCAAGAGATAGGGGGAGGATGAGAAAAGAACTGAGATGTGTCAGGTGCATGGACCAGCTCCCCACGAGGAATATGAGCATTATGCACCGCCAACATGTACAGTACTGATAAATTTTTAAAAGCATAAATAGCAAGCTGCTTATTCTTGCTACCTGTTTTGTCCATTTTTACCATCCAAGAATTAAATGGCTTTCCTTCACAGGATTCCATGTTGGGTTTGCCCAAGTGTAATTTATGATTTCTGTGTTCCGTAAGACAGAGGAGAAAAGAGGTGATGTAGTTTACTGAAAATGCAGGACTTATTGTAAGGAATTGGGGTGAAGCCCTGGCTCCACAAGTTATTAAATGATTTATTTAAGCTTCCTGGGCTTCATTTTCCCATCTATAAAAGAAAAATATTTGTACAACAAGGCACATGAGCCTGTATGTACAAAGTAACTTGTAATAACTTACTAACATGTTAATGATTTTCATCCATCAACCTATCCTTCAAATCTCAATAACTACATTATTACATATTAGTTCAAGAGAATAAATTCAAATTTTAAGACACTGGGCTGTTTGGCAAAGGAGAAAAGAGTGATTAATTTTAATCAAATTAAATGGAAACAGCTGTGCACTAGTTTAAGTACAATCTTGCAGATAGGATACTGACACAAACTGTGTTCTGAAGTTTCTTGGCCAATATTCTTCGATGATTTGAAGTCACACCTAACATCTGACTTTGCAAAGAATCAAAGTCTCTTTTAATTAATTTCCTCTTTTGTAAAGCCAACCGCATCTCCTGGAGGGGCAGAAGATGCATTTTCCTTGGAACTTTATTCAGCAATTTATTTAACTTATTTGGAAACTTTTAAGAGGTTTTAAGAAATGTTTTACTTTTATGACCTAAGCATGAGTATGGCTAGGTAATCCTTGTCATACCTTTTAAAATTTAAGTGCGCAGGTCCTATAGAATTCAAGCCTCTGTTTTAGACTATAAAACAGTCAAGTTTCAGCAATATTGTAAGCTCTTCTTCAGTTAAGGGTAATCAAAGCCTGAAAGATACTGTTTTGTTTGTTTTCAAAGAAACAGACGTCTGGAATAAACCAGATTATTGCTTGAGGTGCAGGTCTGAAAGGAAATGGGCCAGGTTTGAGCTAGGCCTGGTCAGCAGCTGATTAGTATGAGGGG